CCAGGGTGAACCTGGGAACACCAGCAATTAAGAGGTCATTCTACGCCCCTCAAACCTGATAAGAGACTTGCTGTTGGATGTAGTTTATCGTTCTACTCAGGACGCGGATGTAGTTTATCGTCATACCCAAGTTTTAGAAGTTATTTCAGGGAGAAAAAGTTGAAGTTTTATAATTTATTTTGAACCTTATTGCCACCATTAATAATACAGCTCAGATCAATTGCGTAATCGTAGACCTGTGTTTCTCAACCAGTGTTTCGTTTTTAACCTGTGGGGAAATGAAATAAAACCAATAAATAAAATAAAAAAAAAAATAAATTCATTTTCCCATCATGCAAGTTATAAAGAAACCAGAAAAGGTTTCTGGTCATATGTACGAATTTATAACCCCACTTTCGGAAAGGACAGGACGAGTTTGGTCGGACGTGTTTTCAGCAGCCCAACTCATGAAGTAAGTGATTTGGTCATCCTAACTCAGCGCGAGGCTGACTTGCGCTCGGCCATCTTTACCCGTTCTGATCCATAAACTATTTCTGAACCAAAAAGGAAAACGGATATACTCAAGAGACACTTAATTTTGTTTCAATGCAATCAACATAAAAGAAATAAACGTCCATAGCAGAAAATCAAGTCTTTTTGTATGCTTTTTCTATCTTCTTTCTTTATATATTGAACACCTAAAAAATACGCAGGAAAACTAGGATTCCGCAAAACGTCAATAAGGGTTCTGCAAGAGGCCACGAAGGGTTCCGCAGGAGGTCACGAAGGGTTCCGCAAGAGATCACGAAGGGTTCCGTGAGAAACAGTGATAAAATAGGCTAATGTATTTTTGAGTCATTTTTGTTTAATTTTATATTCGTGATTTTAATATACAAGTAAGACATATTGTTGGAAAATCCTTGGTTATTATGATAAATCATAATGATATTGGTCATTTAAATGTATTTTTGTGTGGTTTATTTTGTTAATGAAAGCCTCATCAACGAGCAATATTTTTTGGGGCAAAAAAAAACAACAAAAAAAAAAAAAAAAAAAAATATCATTTTTTTCCTTAAACCAGATATTCAGAAAATATATAATGTTTATCACGTGAACTACGATAAAATTATAAAGATATAGATATTAATAATAGTATATAATAATTTTTATGCGGTGAGAGATGAAAACATTTCAAGTGTGGTACAAGGATAAAACGTTTGAGAAATACTGCACTAAATTAATCACAAGATACTCATTTCATTCATCAACTCGAAAAATCTGTCAGAAACACCAGTGAAATGTCAACACATGCTCATTCAATTGATGTGTTGCAAGCAGATTGCTGTGTATCAACCAAGAAACACGATGGTTACATCAAATATTTTCTCATTAGTCTACTGTTCTGAAGTCATTCAACAAACTATTGGGCAATGAGATAGCATGAACATGAGGTTCACAGCAAGCCAAAGCATTCCAAAAAATGAAGGAAATGCTTACAACAGCACAGGTCCTTGTCTACTTCGATCCAACCAGGCAAACTATCATCAAAGTTGACACTTCTTTTTATGGACTGGGTCAATGCCTTCTTCAAGAGCAAAAAGACTGGTTCCTGGTTCCAGAACATTGTCAATCATAGAACAGAGATACGCCCAAATAGAAAAAGAGTGCCTTGCAGCAGTGTGGAACTAGAGATTTTTATTCTCTACAACAGTGTTTCTCACCCAGTGCTCCCCATAACTCTAGAGTTCTGTAAGAGGTTACGAGGTCATACGGCATATTGTTGGAAGATCATTGGTTATTATTGTTGAGGGGTCCACCCCTTTTTATACAAATGAACTCACCCAGTATATACATATACTACTGCAAGGGTAAGACGAGAGCAAGGCCGAAGGGTCGAGTCCAGAGTGACAGAGTAAAAGGTTGTAGGTAACCGGAAGAGTGAGGATGAAGTAACAGTGTTGTAGGAGTCACAGTGAGCGAGCACGTATACTCACTAAGAAGTCATACAGCGATACTTCAATACCAAAGACTGTATATATATATATTGCTACTAACCCGTATTCCCTGGAACTACTAACCTGCTTTACCAGTTTGTATTATTACGTTAATACATTATTTTCATCTATTCATTCCTGGCGTTTGTTATTTATTGATACCGGATTTCATCCCGGAATCTACAACAATTATAATAAAATATAAGAAATAGATATTAATAATGTTATATAATTGTAATGGTCCGGTTCCTTGTACCACGGTGATAGTCCAAGGTAGAACCAATAAAGAAGAACTCGAATACGGATATGGAATAACACAGATATATTACAAACAGGAATATATACAGAGAAGTAGAAAGTGTTAGTACGAACAATCAGGTTTAGTAGTAATTGTCTGAACGCGACTCTGTTTCGGACTGCCTCTGACTCGACTGACGGACTTCTGACGGACTTCACTCCAGACTTCAGACTGAACGGTATTTAGTCACCCCGCCACGAGGGCATCATGTGGCACAAGGCCTGTTTAA